AGTTTGTGGATGATGAAAATGAGTGTTGGTACTTGGATGACGACGACGAAAACGATGATGATAGTGGAGACGATGATGATGATTAAGATGACCATAATGATGATAGTGTAACACTAAGAAAAAGATAAAAGTTAAGAGTACTACTTTAGTAACAATAATACAGAATAGGTTACAGTATATAATGATGAGATTTTGATGGGGCAGATGACTGTTTAAATAAAAGATAAACATGAGATTTAATAATTAACCCCATTGTTGCAAATAAGGATATACTTTGAATGATCATTGTAGTTTTGCTGAGAAGCAAGGAACAAATAGTTGCAAATAGTTAAACTTTTTCCTGAAATGACGAAGATGATGATGATGAGGAGGATCATATTTAGGTGAAGTTGATGATGATGAAGATGATGTAAATGTTATGATGAAGATGAAGATGATGGTCATATCTTGACGATGGTTGAAGTTTTTGAAAGGTTTCAAATGCTCATCAAGATCTTTGAATAGGAGTGCGTTATGTAAAGATAATTGGATGGATGGATGGAAGGATGGATGGATGGATAGATGAATTGATGGATGGATGGATGAATTGATGGATAGATCGAAGGATGGATAGAGTGATGCATAAATAAATGAATGAATTTAATGTGTGAATGAATAGATGAACGGATAGACAAATTAATGAATAAATGGAAAGATTGAAAAATAAACGAATGAAAATGTGATGCATGAATAAATGAAAGAAAAATGGATAAGTACAAAAATGAACAGATGGTTGACATAATAAGAAAAAGAATGAATAGATAGTGTATGGGGAAAGATGGGTTTATAGATAAGAAATACAAATTATATAGTTTCCGGTTTTTTTTTATTATGGGTATGTTTATTTATATTTTTGTGTGCGTCTGTTTGTATGTGGTGTGTGTGTTTGTGCGTACGTGTGTGTGTGCGTGTTTGTGCTTACGTGTGTGTTGTGTGTGTGTGGATCCGCCAGCAAGTGCAAACTGTCGTCTCCCTCTCCCCCTCTATATATTTTTGTCCCTCATCGAATTTTTACATTTTTATCAAGCTGACATCTTTAAAAAATGGCGTAAACAAAATGTAGCAGGACGAAAAAGTAATAAAAAATAACGAATTGTTCTGCATATAAGTGGTATGTTTATTTCTGTCCCCAGATCTGCAACCGTGTTTGTGTGTGTATATGTCTGTGTGTGTGCCTGCGTGTGTGTGTGTGCCTGCGTGTGTGTGCGCGCGTATATTTATATAAATAATTCATACCATATTAGGGCTTACTTTCAACCTTCTAATATATTAAGTATAAAGCAATTACATATTTTTCAATCATTTTTTTTTCAAATTGTATAAATTCAGCTTTACTTAATAGACATATTATTAGATTCCATTAGAATCACCAAAAACTATAAGATAAGAAACCATTCCAAACTTTATTGTTAATAGCTAAGAACTTATTTTTATATGAATTCTGTCGAATTATAAACTACGCTCGTTACTATGGCTTATTGGCATTATTTTTCCAAAATTTTTCCACAATAAATGTTTTTAAAACCTTAATAATAAAGCACATTCGTTCAAATAATTTTCAATCTTTCATCTGAATGTTTTTTTGTTTATGATTAATAGACTTATTCTTTTAAATCATTCATTCATCAACGTTTGTCAAATTGTTTATTGTTCATCGTATCAATGTGATCTTTGTTCAATGATGTTCTTATTCTACTGCTTCAATTGAAAAAAAGTTATGATTTCTGGTAGTAAAAACATTTGTTTATTATTGTCCAACAATGTTTAATGTTGTTTAACAATGTTTATTATCTATCAATTTTTTGTATTTGCGTATGTGTTATATGTTTATTGGAAAATACCCTTTTTTTTATTTGAAAAATGTTTTTACCTTCTGTTATCAAAGAAGTTTAATTTTAGTTACGGTTAGTCGTTTAAGTTATGCTACTTTTGTCTTTCCGTAATAAAATATTAAAATCTTGAAAAAATACATTAGTGTAGGTAAAGAACAGCGATTGTCGTCACGTATATTATATCTGTAGATTTTCTTTCACCTTGATTACATACAAAGTTTATTAGATGGTATTGTGTTCTACATCTTTGTTGTTGGGTTTCCTTTGTCCTTCATTGTTATAAAAGTTAGTATTAAGGCGACGAGTTGGTAATGATGTTATCATTCTTAGTTGGATGTTTAGTTGGGGTTTATATTATATATGTCTAATAAGACAGCTTCTCCATTTTTTTTGATGTATTTTTAGGTGTTTTGATAAATTATTTTTGTGTTGTCAAGAAATTAGCGGGTTATTGGAGTTGCATGTGTTGATTGTGAGATTTGATGGCTCCTCTTTGTTGTATGAATTGTGAGACGTCTTGATAGTGAAGTGGTCATAATGTCAATATGCAAATGTTGTTGACGCGCACAGTCGTCAATAGGGCTTTTAAATTCACATATTACATGATAACGAAGAATCGACTTTAGGAGTGCAGTTGTTCTTTAAGACCATTTGTGATGTCTTACAATTATTGTAGTATGTCCTGAGTTTTATTTTCTTAGTATCATTAACTGGTGTAAAATTTCTTTTTATGATTTATTTGAGGACGACTTTGTCTATTTTATATGCCGTTGACACGTGATTTCTATAATATAGGATTATGTCGTTGTCATTGTTGTTTTTAAATATATTGCTGCCTTGTTGTAGTCTTTGTTGAATGGTGCTCTCAATGGATGATGTTTTTGTAACCATTGCTTACTAGTAGGTTAGTAATTCTTTTCAGTTCCGTATTGCGATCTTCAATTCACAAAAGATTTTATTGTACTTACTTTGATTTGTTCCGTACATTCACTTAACCCATTTAAACAAATACATTAATTTGTTGCTTTGACGTACACGCCAGTTGTGAATCTTTGATCGTCATGCGTTACCAGAACATCCAGAAATGGCAAAGAATTTTCACTTTCGTGCTCGATGGTGAAATTCAATTTTAATTGGTATATATTATATATTGATGAAAATTAGAGCACATTCAGCGTTAGTTAACTTCCAATTTAATTTTTTGATTTTTCTAACAAAAAGTAACAATAATTAAAAGTTAACGCCGAACATACTGTGATTTCCATCAATTATTGCATTTCTGACAGTGTTAATCCAATTTATATTATATATTACTATATATTAAATATATATATATATATATATATATATATATATACATATATTCAGTAGTTATGTAAAAATAAATACACACCCCACACACACGCACACATACACCACACACACGAACATCTATTTATATATACACACGCACAAACATATGTAGGTACAAATGTCTATACGTTCTGAAGACATTTTAATCAATATATTCATCGGATGTCATTGGAGCGCTTAATGAACATGTCCAACTTACTTGACAATTGAAAATTATATCCTCTTTCCTATTGTTAGAGCACTGACAGGATGGCAACTTCTAGAATAATAATCGGTTTATAGTTTCAGTTTAATGTTAGTATTTGGAGAAAACCTTGTCGCTGTATTAGTATAAGCAATGACAACAGTAGATTCGGTCGGCAATTGAGTTAGTAATGGCGATGCTACCGACAAATCTCATTATAGAGAATGTGAATTATAAAATTAAATAATATATTTATTACTTTTTGTTTTTATAAGTAAGTAGCAGTAATAATTGGTTTAGTACTAAAATTAGTAGCAATAATATTTACGTTGGCAAGTGTATGTAAGGTAACTGATGAAAAACTTATTCACTGAAAGGTTACATACTTTGATGAGCTGTTTTGTAATTAGTAGATTGAGGAGAGTATCGCATTTTTTCTACTTAAAATTATTTATGTCGGGTTAATGGGTTTGGCATTTGCAGTGTTCGTTTTAAAATGTAATAACTGCTAGAGAAAATGGCGTGTGTAGTGAGAGTAGAAATATGATAATTACAGAGTAGTAGACACATGCACACCTTGATAGTTTTCAATTAAACTGAATTTGAATTTCATATTTAAAAAATTAATTCCATTAATTTTAAGAATTAATCGATGAATTGTCAAAAATATAACAAAGAATTTTATCAACGCGAGTGTATGAAACCTTTTTTAAAACGGTTTTTTAAAAGTTCGAAATACACAGCTATAGTTGTCCATCTTGATATTTTGAATGAAAGAATTGTCTGAAAAGTCCGTTATTAACGTTTCAAACGTAACCAACAACAAAACATTCTCCCATAGCCATATTTCACTATTACGTAGAAATAAAAATAGACTTTTTATAGCGTGGCATTTGTTAATTATGTAGCATCAGGCATTAGACCGTTGTTATTATGATGTCGTTTGGTTTATTGCTGTTGGAAACAGCATTCATTTGTTTGAATGGTAGTGTTTGTCGCTTTGACATCGTTTTGTGAGCTCCCACGCACAATTTGCACTCATTATCTTCATCATCCTCAACGTATTCTTCACCGTCATCACGTCTTTATCATTATTGTTATCAGCAGTTTCCTTATTATTAACACTACCGTCATCTTCGTACTTATTGCTATTGCCGCCATAATCTTGTTACAATCATCATTACCACAATTATTATCATCATCAGTTCTAATATCATTATCATCATTATCATCATCATCATCACGACGTCATCGCACAGGTTCCGGGTACATTGATACCTGGTGAGAAATCTCGAAGCATCACCTTCACGAACGACGAGTCAACCATTCTTGATCCTCTCTGTCCTCCAAGCACCGCCACCCCTTCAAAACAATCCATCCATCTGTCTGCAACACCCAAACAATCCATCCATCCGTCCCCTCGAAAGAAAAATTATTTCCAAAACAGAAGCAGATCGGTCTGCGGACAACACAACCGCGCCAACCAAGGAGCTTCTTGGGAGCAGCCTCAATACCTCAGTTCCGATAGAATTTTTGCACGCCATAGTACGGCCGTCGAACTAAATTTCAGCGTTCAGGCGATCAAAGATGAGATGAAAGGATCGTTTTCATTTAAAGAGCTTTCAAAATCAGGAGCATTATCGACTAGTACCAGCTACTTAAAGGAACAGATTACGTCCGTATTTCAGCCGTCTGATAACAAGCTAGCCATGAAATTGTTTGGAAACAAAATGGCGTTGAAGAAGGAAAAGGAAAGGCAGGAAGCTGTGGGCAAGTGGGTCATCCATCCGTGCAGCAATTTCAGGTTTGCCTTTTGTGTTTTGTTCGATGTTTTTTGGTTGGCAACGTTTTTTGGTTGTTCGTTGCTCTCCCATGATAATTTTTTCTTTTTATCTTTTATCGCAGAAAACTTTTCAACATTTAATTATCCAGGTTTTCTCTTGTCTGCTTAATTGCTTAATATTTTTTGTTATTTAGAATTTTCAAAAGTTTTTACAATTTTCTAAAGTCGTGTGATACACCATTTGTTTGAAGGGATTGTTCTTTAACTCATTTGTATTTGCATCAGTAATTGTTATTTGTTACTCACTCAAACGTAGTTTTCCAACTATCTGATTATTTCATAATCAAATGTTTTAATTTTAATGTTTTACAAGCGAAATTCATTTATTTTTAAAATTATTAACTCAAAAATCAAAATAAAATGAAAGAAACAAAAAGAAACAAAATACTCGGTATTAAAATAAAAAAAAATGCTCTTATTGTAAATTATGAAATAAAAAATACAATGCGCCATAAACCATCATTAAACTGGAAAGAAACGTTACTGGGATTTGTACTTCCCACAAAAATACTGAGACAAATGTGCGGCTAGTACATGGAGTAATTTAATTGCAAGGGGGCATACCTGCGCCTGTGCGTTGCTAATGATTGTTTATCATTTGTACTGTTAAGTACAATTTTATGAGCGAAGAATAAAAACTCGATTTAATTTTCAATGTTTACGAGTATCAAACAAATTCATATAAACTTTTTTATAATAATCATGATTTTCATATTACAATATTAATTATATTATTATATAAAAACATTAAATGGCATATTATTTTTAAATTTTACAAGGGGAGTGGAAATGGAGGTTTGTCCAGATTATCCATTTTTGTGAGTGGCGGTGGAAAATAACCTTGTTAACCTAAGTCGTCGTCGGTTTATTATATAGTTTTTTTTCCATTCAATGGCGTTGTTATGGTGACTAGATAAGTGGTGACGTCATGACTGTTTGTGAGGCAACAACATGAAGTGGCTTTGAGTTAACTGGTTGGCTGTGATGGCTGTGCAGATGTCGAAGATGCTATGAGGTGAATGTAAAAGTTGATGACACAGTTTGTTAGTGGCGATGATGAAACTAATGATAATAGGTAACGATGTGGTTGATGGAGATGTTTTCCGGATGTTCAACTGATGTTCAACAGAGAAATTGACGTAGATGATGAAGAATGATGATGTTAATGACGACTAATATAGTGGTGGTAACAATATTGATAATGGTAATGGAATTAATTATGATATCAGAAAAAAGGAGAAAAAAAATGATCCACAAATGATTGAGTCTACGCGATAGAAGCGAAAAATTTCATCTAATTAGTATTGTCACAAAAAATTATTTGTAGGCGTTTCGATGTTTAGAAAAATATGACGGATTTTTCTCATTCCACATATTTTTATTGATTTTTTTTCTATAAAACCAGTTGTTTACCCAAATTTGATTAAATTTTTCATTTTGGAGGAGAAATTCCAACAATTTAAAAAAAATTTTATATGGAGATTTTATGAAATTTGACCTAAGATGGGTTGCAGTTTCAAATGTTGGTATACCGATAATATTTAGGCCGCAAAGATTTAACAACAAAGAAAATGGCATGTCGTAGGTGGGATCGCTTTGCAATCAAATCTTGTACTGCAATATCATTGGCAGGTACTTTACCGTTACACCATAGTGCCTTTATTAATATATTTATGATTATCCGATAATTATAATGAAACTACTGATAATAACGATAATTATTATCGCTATTATCAGTAGTTTAATCTTAACTAATTACTAACTCTAATAGTCTACTAATCTAACTAATAGCATCAACTTATTGTTGTCCTTGAAAGTATCATTATTAATATTTTGTTTTAGACAGTTATTTAGATATGTTTTTTTTTATTAATTCGTTTAACAGTTATCAAGATGTAAACAAGTTTACGGCCGACAGGACGACAATAAATACGAAATTAGAGAAACGCATAGGAACGTCTTAAATCCACTTTTACTTTTATAAAAAAAATATGACGCTTATCTTGCGCTTTATATTTACATTTATTTAATTTTGTAAAAAGTCATATGCAATATAATAAATTAATAATTGAATTAATAATAGTTTTTATAATTATAATGATATTTTTATTATCATAAGTGGTCTTTATTTAATTAATTATTCAATTATTTGTACGTTAAATCATCAAATTGTTCATTTATTTATAAATCCATTTATTTGCGAGTTCATATATTCAGGGTATCTTTTTTTTTTATTCAATTTCACCCGGAAAGATTTAATGGCCGTGAACGGAAATTGTTTCATTGTTATTTATGTTGTTGTTGCAGTTATTGTTATTATTGTTGCTGTTGCTATTATGCTGTTGTTTTTGTTGTTTTGCTATCACATGCTATTTTTTTTAATTAAAATAAGCTGGCTGGCGCTATTCTTGATGTCAGCTGTGACGATATTGACGTTTGTGAGATGTGTTTATTGTTGCCTCTTTATTTCGTGTTTTGCTCGTCAGTTGGATTTGAAGAAGAAATTTCGTGGTTCATTGGTTTGTAACTGTCGTGCTTAATACACTGAAATTAGTTTAGTTGATGTATTTAATAATTTGTTGTTATACTTCTAAATGTTTTTGTCGTCGGTGTTTATACCTGTCGCTGATGTTGTTTCTGCTACTAGTATTGTCGGTAATATTATTGATATTGAATTAAAATAAGCTGGCTGGCTTGCTGTTAATGTTGTTGTTTTGTTATTATTGTTGACGTTACTAATGTTATCATTGCGGTTATGATTCCTAATATTGTTGCTGCTGTGACTAGCATCGATCGCACAGAGATCTCCGTCTGTCACACCTATGTAAAGTATGTAAGTTGCGTTGATTCTCTTGTATTTTCAAGCGTTGGATGTTTTTGTTTATACTTTTCAAAAGTACTTAACTGAGGAGTGAAAAGGTTATTAGGAGCCAGTCATTTGTTGCTGAGGTTGGTTCGTTCTCGAACCTGTTAAACCGAAAGCATTCTTTTTATTGTAGCGTCGCAAATTTACAACATTCAAGTGAAATTTTCCTACTCGTTATTCGATTTCGTAACATAAACACGGAGGAAAGCAATCACCTTATATCAGCAAAACAATAACATGAGATCTCTAACAATTTATTTTGAACCATATAAAAACAAATCCATTTATTTGAAACCATAAACCAACAACTTCGAAAAAACTGGTTATCTCGAAAAGAGAGAGAGAGAGAGAGAGAGAGAGAGAGAGAGAGAGAGAGAGAGAGAGAGAAACAAGCATGAATACGTTATGCAAAATGCTGTCCTTGAATGTTGAAACACATCTGTTAAAAATGCCCAGTGTTTTAAGGTTCACTAAAGATCGGTACATTAGGTGATTGATCATATGTACCAGCATTTCAGTATCACCAGTACATTCCAGTGCCATTTCACAGTCAAACAACGTTTCTTTGTTTTTCATTAAGTACTCTATAAAATTTTGTGACAAAATTTCACAATTCATATACCGAGTATAATGAAGTCTTTGTTTAATTTAACTTTAATTTATACGAGTTAATAAAAAAAAAATAAACCAATGAGCAAATAAATTAACAAATAATTAAATACATAGTTCAGTGAATTAATAAATTATTTAATTATTCAATTAATTAAATACTTAATTAATTGAATAACTAATTATTATTACATATATTAACATATAAAAATATAGAAATGTATAAATGCAATACATCAACTCAATTGATCAGCTCGACATACAGGCGCTTTCATTTCATACACGAATTCTAATCTCGCCGCTTGAACCGTTGAAGATAATAATGTTGATTTAAGAGCGTTTCCGACGATTAATTGAGGTAAAAATTGCTTTTCTATGTCATTAAGAGGTTGTTTTCTTTATAATAGTTTGTTTGTGTTTTGTGTACTTTGTTTTAGTTATATGATGAGAGTTTTATTTCATTTTCTATGTTTTCAATTATCGTTCAGGTTGATTTACGAATTTCCACTCGCTCAATTTTTTGTGATCTTTTTTTTATTCAATTCTCCGTTTCTTAATACCAACTTGGCCCATTGTTTTCAACGTTGAATTTTTTCCCTCTCCGTTGATTTACACTGCGGACGTTTTGTTGCGTAATTTTTACGTCAGTTTTGTTTGTTTTGCTTCACGCTGCTTCACACTACCACTACAAAACTTTGTGAGGGAACAGCAATTAAACAAAAACACAAATCCCAACCAAATATGAAATCATGAACCCACCACTCATTAGTTTTGCTATTACTAATGTTGCTATTAGTTGCTATCACTGCCTCTATTACTACTACTGCTAAAACTACAACTAATACTGCTGCTACAGCTGGTTTTTGTCGTTGCTTCTACTATTACTACTTGGACTACTTGGACTACTTGGACTACTGCTGCTGTTGCTACTATTTTTATTATTACTGCTACTAATACTTCTACTCTTACGGCTGCTATTACTTCTACTATAATCATTATAAATATATTTACTATTATTATTATTTTATACTATTAATATTATTACTACTTCTAATACTGCTAACTACTACTACTACTACTACTAAAACTGGCTGCCCAAGTTGGTTTATTAAGTTGAATGGCTGGTAAAGTGATCAGTGAAAAAAAATCTTAACCTCAGCATTCAGTTTTTCACGAAACATTTTATAAAAATTTCATAAGATTTAAACGAGTGAATTTTTTTTCAATTCAAATCAAATTTTCAAAAAGACGAATTTTTTCTGAAAAGAGTATTAGTTGATTAAATCGCTTCTTAGCGGTCCACATTTTGGAGAGTGCTTTTTTTTATTACAAAAATTCATATTAAGTGCGCTTATGTTTGTTATTAATTTTTTTTTTCATTAAAACAGTTTTAAAACAGTTTTTTCATATACTCATTGATTTTATTTTTATTTGTTTAGAAAAATGTATTCATAATTGAGTTATTTTTATTGAAATTTCAAAAAGT